AAGAAAGCTAAAAATGGGATGACTAGTAAACGGGGAATAAAGATTAAGTCTATATCAACATTTTGTTTTCCCTAACAATGCTTAAAATGAAGTTAGGAACACAAAAGGAAAGAGAAAATGTATCTCTAACAACTCATTATAATTCCAATCATGTTACCACAAAGAAGGATAAAAGCCAGTGGTCACAACCCAGTGTTAAAGTCCTTTTGGTATGAGGGAGATGACAATGATAAAAAGTAAAAGCAAGAAACTTTTTAATTAGATGCAGTCCTACTTGCTTATTTTTGCTTTTGTTATCTGTGTTTTGGTGTAAAATTCAAAAAAATAAAAAACTAGCTAAAACCAGTGTTAAAGAGATGTTCTTCTGTTTTCCTTGTTCTTTTTATTTATTTAGTTACTTATTTATCTCAGTTTGCTATAGGGCATGTGTGCTTACTGGAGAGAAACAGAAAAATAAAGAGAGAAGGAAAAAAAGAGAAGTCACCCCAGGAGGTGGCCACACCACAATCCCTTTTTCTCTATTCTCCTCTCAGGATTTTTGGGCACGGAAGCACATGCATCCAGTGTGTTTTTCAACTTCCCAGGTCCAAGCTGAAAACAATCCAGCTGGCCACATGAGCTCCACTCCCCAGCCTCCATCCTACCTGCTGAGTCCTATCCCATTTTCTTATAGGAGTTCCATGGTCTTACGTTTAAGTCTTCCTTTCATTTTTAATTGGTTTTTGATGACAGTAGTCCTTTTCAGTTACTTCTATTTTTTATAATAATAATGATATAGACGGAATGCCTGATATAACTATAGTAGAGAAATTTATCCTGTCTTTTATTTGCATAAGTCCAGTTTTCCGTTTGCATCCACTTTTTCAGTAGTACTCTTCTATAGGCTAAGCCTGTAAAAAAGAAACTCAGCCCATTCTGCAATGTGCCTTTTTTCAAATTTCCACTTCCCTTGGTCTGCCTGGTTTTTTTCATTCTCTATAGTGTTCAAATAACTGTTTTCTACAGTGCTATGGCTTGAATTGTGCACCCCCCCAAAAAAAATGCACATGTTGAAGTCATAATCTCCATTAATTCAGAATGTGGCCTTATTAGGAAAGAAGGTCATTGCGGATGCCTTTAGTTAAGATGAGATCACACTGGAGTACGGTGGGCCCTACTCCAGTGTGACATGTTCCTATAAAAGGGAAATTTGAACACAGACTACTATGTATGAAAAGTGTCATATGACAATAAAGGCAGAGAACAAGGTAATGCTAGTACAGACCAAGAAACACCCAAGATTGCTAGGAAAACAACCAGATGCTAGGAGAGAGTCATGAAACAAATCCTCTAACAGCCCTGAAAAAACCAAGTTTGCCAACACTGTGATCTCACCCTTCTAGGCTCCAGAACTATGAGAGAATATGTACCGGTGTGTAGCACATTATTGCAGCTACTGTATGTAATGTGCCTGGAGTTTATAAAGGGTGAATCATGAGGAGCCTAATCCACCAACCCAGGAGTGACTTAGAATAAGTTCACATTTTCTCTACATGTCTAGTTTTCTTATCTGTAATAATAGCTCACTGCATTAGTGGAAAAATTAAATAAGCTGATATATGTCAAGTAGTCTTCTCCTTTCAGTACACTATGCATCAGGCTCTGTTGTAAGCACACTAGGAAGAACATCAAAAAAAAAAAAAAGCCATCGAGTTACAAATTTTTACCTTTTTTTTTTTTCAAGAGAGATTTTTGCTATAGGGCATATGCCTTCAATGGAAAGACAGAAAGCGAGAAATAATCACCCTCATCACCACACCCCACTCCAGAGGTGACAGTCACACCACAATCCCTCCTCCTCCATTCTCCTCTCAGGATTTTGCGTACACACACACACACACAGCATGAGTTTTACACACAGCATGAGTTTTAAGCTGCTGGGTCCAGGATTCAAACTTCAGTCGACGTGGGAGTCCAGTGATATAACCATTATGCTATCTGCTAGTCCCAATTTCTGTCTCTTTTAAGTTTACATTTTAGTGAAAAGTTGCAGACAATAAAACAAACAAATAAATTATGTAATTTCTTGGCCAATAATAAGTTCTATGAAAAGAAACAAGAGACTGCGGATAGGGAAGGCTGAGGTTGGTTCAGACAGTTATGTTTGTTTTGTTTTTTTCTATAGGGCACATGCACTGGCCAGAGAGAGAGAAACGGGGGTGAGGGAGACTGAGACACCATTCCCCAGGAGGGATGGCTATGCTATAATCCCTCTTCCTCCATTATCCTCTCAGGATTTGGGGGGCGTGCACACGCGCGCGTACACACACACACACACACACACACACACACACGTGCCCATCATGATTTTCAAGTTACAGGGGCTGGGATTCAAACTAAATAATCAGCCAAGTAGGATCCAGCTGCCTCAACTACCATGCTACCTGGCTGGCCCAGTTCAGACAGTTGTTTGTTGTTTTTTTTTTTTTTCTTTTTTTTTGGAGAGGTTTTTGCTATAGGGCGCGTGCGCTCACGAGACAGACAGAGAGAGGCCGAGAGATAGAAAGCGAGAAATCACCCATTAGAGGGGATGGCCACGCCGCAATCCCTTCTCCTCCATTCTCCTCTTGGGATCTTGGGCGTGCACGCACATGCACCCGGCGTGAGTTTAAGCCACCGGGTCTGGGACTCAAACCGCGGTCGACTACGTGGGAGTCCAGCAACATAGCTATTATTCTAACTGCTGGTCCCCAGACAGTTTTTAATAGAGTGGTCCAAAGACGCATCTCTAAAGGAGAGATGGAGTGAGCCATGTGTGAGAAAGAGCATTCCAGGAAGAGAGAAGAGGAAGCACAAGTACCCTGAGGTCACAACCTGCCTGGAATATTCAAAGAACAGCAAAAGGCCAGTGTGGCCAAGGCAGTGAGTGAGGTGAAAGGCAGTAGATGAGGGCAGAAGGGTGATAGGGAACTAAATTGCATAGGTCTTTAAAAGGCTTGGACATTTACCCTGAGTAACAGGGAAGCCATTGACAGTTTCAAGCACAGTCACGACATATCTCAGTGCACTTTCATGGGATGACCCTGCCAGTGTATGGGAGATTCGATAGTGGGATGGCTGGGGAGAAAGGGGTGGATAGAAACAGAGGGACCAGGCAGGAGACTATTTCTGAAATCCAGTTTAGAGGCCATGATGTTGGCTCTGACCAGAGCTGCTGGTGAAGGAGGTAAAATAGAAGCCCCAGAGAGGTTGACGGGTTTTTTTGGTGGATCAAATGCAATGTTTGAAAGAAAGAAATGGGGCCAAGGGTGACTGAGATTTGTGATCTGAGTTACTGGAAGTACGATTCTATTAACTAAATTGGGGAAAACTTCTAGGATATTTAAGGAAGGAAAAAACAGAGCTGTTGTTACTCTGTTTTCTTCCTCTTTTGTTTAACATTAATGTCATTATTATTGTTATAATAAGAGGTAGTTTCATCCATCCTTTCTCCTTTATTCTTAGTCCCCTTTTCTATCCAATCGCTTTTTTTCTGGCAGGTGATAAGCCACTGCACACTCACCCAAGGATTTGGTCAGCACATTTTCCCTACTGTCTTCTCATCCCACAGAGAGCTGAATGGACACAGAGAGCTGGCATGCCCCCGACCCTGGGCACATCACCACGACCCTTCTCTCTGCTTCCACAGTCACACCTCTCTCAACCCCCAGAGAATACCTGCTTCTCTTTTTTTTTTTTAAAGAAATGTCACTTTTCTTTGCTTTTTCTCGATTTTGCCATTTTTCTTCTACCTACTTCCATTTTCATTATCCTCCCCTCAATTCTTCCCCACTAACAATCCTGTCTGCTCTCATTCCCATTACTTCTCCTATGATTCCTCAACACCACAATAAATCTCCTGACCTAGCTTCCTAACTCCTTATCATTTCCCCCGGTCCTCAATTACAACTCTTTGTTGTAGGAAAACATCATTTGATGTCTCTTGATCTGTTTGCTACTCTGTAAAATAATTAGGCTATATTATCTCTAAAGATACTTTCAGGTTTAACGTCTGATCTAACTGACTTTAGCTGTTTAGTGTTTTTTCATGTGTGGCAAGTTTTCATTTCCTATACAACTTACTTTCAAATCTCTTTCATTACTTTCTTATCACTTCCAAGGTCCTAACAACATTTTGTTTTCATCATTATTTCATAGGTCAAGCACAGCGGGCTTCACTCCCACCTTAATGTTGGTCAAAACACAGTATTTATTTTTTCAGAAATCATCTACCACTGGGACACAAACTAACAGTGTTAATGTCACAAGTCTGAAAGAAAGCAATCCCAATTGGACACTTCTTTATTGTAACATCTTCTTATGGTTTTCTTTGAGAAATCTGCAATGGAACAGTTTGGTTAATGCCAGTGACAAGCAGCTAATGGCACAATATCTGCTTTGATTTCCTCAGACACATTGGAAGTTTTCATCCTCATTTCTTTGCAATGCCCTCACCTTTGGCTTCCTTTGTTATGTAACTGCCAATTTTGATCAGTTAATTCAAGAGTAAGAGTGACAAGGAAAAAACAACTTAGCTCTGCTGACTGCCCCATTTACAAATAACAAAATACAGTTTATTTTTCTGGATTTGGGACTAAATTGATAACATCTTTAAAAATCCTGGACACAAGTCTTTTTTAATGCTTTTATTTAGGAAAAATTTCAGGTGATTTCAAAATACATAAGCCATCCCATTGACTGAGGGCAACGGAGGTTATTTCAAAACATTCTTTTTAATAGTCTAAACTGATATTATTGATCACAGCAAATAGGAGAAAAGAAAAAAAATCCACCCGAAAAAGTCTTTCTGTGGAAATTTTGCAGCTAGATTTGCCAGACGTTAAGGAAATTCACACACACACTCACATGCACAATTAGTTTTTAAAATTCCATTTTTAAGATTACATTTCATACATCACATTATAACTGCAAATGGGTTACTTGAATCCAATAGTTACCTCTAGTTATTTTTAGCATAGGCGCTTGACTTCACTTTATCTAATGCTGGCACATAAATTTAACTTTGCAAAAATCACAGGAGAAATGTGTCCTGTCTGTCTCATCTGCCCAAAGCAAATGTCATCTCCCCCAAGTGCCACAGTTATATGACATCTCCCTCCTCTGAGCTACTGGAACTTACGTGTCTCCTTATCTTCTGGCCCTCCTAAATCACTCTTTCATACTATCAATAAATATTTGTGAGAGAAAGGAAGAGGCAGAAAAACAAATAAGCACTGCAGCTTAATAGGAAAAATAATAATAATAATAATAATAATAATAATAATAATAATAAAACATGGGCACTGAGTCAGATAGACCCAATTTATAACTCATTTCATCTATTTAATCACGGTGTGACAGGGAGGGTCTATTTAACATCTCTGAGTCTTCATTTCCCCATCAGTATAAGGGAGATAATGAAACCTCCCTCATGGGGAACTGTGAAGACAAAACTGGATAAGATGTTAAAGCACCTAGCCTTTGATTTAAAAATCCTTCTTCTATTCCTAGCACTCAATTCTGAATTACGGTTGGTTGAACACAGGTCTCCTTCTAGGCTGTACGCTACTGAAGGGAAAGACTTGTTGATCTTTGCACTTCCTGTAGAACCTGGGGGAGTCGACTGCCTATTCAGGAGGCACAGTGACTGTGTATTGTACTGAACTGAGGGCTGGAGCAGGATCAGTCCTGGGCTGTGGGACAATGATCTGTTCTGGCTACTTTGACTCTTTGGGCTCTTTTAGTAATAAAGTTCCTCTCATGAGCTATGACTCAAGCCACACGGGCCTTGGAGAGCCCACCGTGTTTTAAATTAGCTTGCACAAAATACAATGACTTTCCTAAATTCCTTGGCAACTGATCAGAACACTATTCCATTTCTCACTCTGGACATACCTGCAGGGATATCGACCTTACACTGAAAGAGATGAAACTGAATTTACTACACTATGCCGGGAAAACAAGAAGTTGTATTTAAAAAAGCACTGGATCAAATAAACATGGGTTATTAACCCCAGCTCCACCCTGGCAAGCCGTAAGACTGAGGGAAAACTATCTGCACTTAGTGAACCTCACTCACAGAAACAGAGAGGATGACTTACTTGGACTGCCACACAAGGTGGTTGGAAAGATAAGGAAGGTGATGCCTTAGAACCGATATCACAGTGAAGCTGATGTGCACACAGGTCTGGGAAGCCGTTGCTGTTTAGCAACTGCCCTTTCTCCTTTGGCCACTGACCAGCCCTCATTTTATACTTTCCATTCAGTTCAGCAGAAAAGCTGTGTGTGTGTGTGTGTGTGTGTGTGTACACTCACACATGATAGAGATAAAACCCACATACTTCCCTGTCTTTTCTCCACCATGCCAAAAAGTTACAATGCAACAGAAAAGTGTTGTCATGGCTCCAGGACACCACACATGCAGTGTCTGTAAAGCAAAGGGCACATGTGTCTGCAGGCAGCAGGACCCAAATTCATCACCTTTCTGTCTGTTGCTAGAACAGCACTGCACAGCCTACCTGCTTTGGGCTTCTTCTCATGGTCATTCATTCCTTTGTGAAATATTTCAGAGAGATAGCCAAAGCAAAACAGAACATCATCCCCAAGCATAAAGGGGTGGCTTGGGGGAGAAGCCTGGGCCCAGAGTCCATTCAGTTCATGTAGACTCTGCTTCTAGTCACTCAACTAACATCACCCCAGGTTCCTGAAGGAAACTGAGGGGGAAGGAAGGCAAATGGGCCAGCTAAAGACTGCACATGGAAGAACGAACCTTCCCAAATTTCCGAAAGAAATCTTCTTGTGCCTGGGCCAGGGCATCTTCATCAATGTATACAGCCGGCCTCTTGGACATGAGGAAATACTGAACCTTCCTCAGGTTCCAGCCCATCACGTACTTGAGCCAGCCACACACAGCGGCGGTGGAGCGGCCCACGCCGGCGTTGCAGTGGACGTACACTGTGTGACCATTCTCGAGCAGCGCGTGCAGGAGACACACCGCCTGGGGCAGCATCTGCACTCGGCCTGGGATTGAGAGAGCATAGCACACTCGTGTGAGTAATGAACCCTCACGGCCACCAACAATTCCTCCAGCCTACCGTAAAACCACAGTGCTCTATGGGAAAGGCAGGGTGTGAGAGTTTGCTTTTTCCCTCTGTTTTGAAAGAAGAGGTGAGACCATTCTAAACCCTGATCCCAGTAAGTAGAAAGAGCACTCCAGACACACTGGGTTCGGTAGGTTCCCTCTGAACCTTCACTGGATATTGCTACTCCTTTGAGCAACTTCACCATTGAAGCATTTTTTTGTTCCTCCAAAGAAATGTTAACTCTTGCCTTTTGTCAGAATGGATTTTTACATCTGTCAGAAGGGTTTGCAGAGATTGGGCAGACATTTAGAGGATTTCAAAGAAAATGGTCAGGGCTCATCACCTGAATTCTAATAAGTCCAAAAAGACTTTCCAGGTAAATGTAAAACACAGATTCAGTCCATATTGGTTAAAGGAATCAGTCTTGTTCATTCAACCACATGGGATCATTTTCGCATTTGCCCAATGGGAATGGCTACCTTAATGGTCAATTACTTGACCATTTCTTCCCTCATGAGTCAGTGAATGCTAAAAAATGCAGTTTCTATATCATTGTTGCAATTATGATCATAGTTATTACTGCTCATGACTATTTGAATACAGATCATCCAAACATCTTGTCATCACATTGAGAAATGCTGTACCCTGCCGAGCTTGACAGACCCTCTCACCCCATGGGCCAGAGGCAACTCTGTAGTCATCGCTGTGCTCCTGGATGCCTGTGGTTTCTTCTGCTCACAAGTTCTCAAAACAGAGATATTTAGTGAGTTGGTTTTCTTCTTTGTTTGGCTGGGTCAGTGAGAATCACTTTAGAAGGAAAAGAAGGGGCCAGGGCAGATGGTATGGTGGTTAATGTTCTGGTCTCCCACGTATCCAACTGTGATTTGAATCCTAGACCCAGTGGCTTGAAAATCACACTGGGTACATCTGTGTGCATGCCCAAAATCCAAAGAGGAGAGTGGAGAAGAAGGATTGCAGTGTGGCCTCTCCCCAGGGAATGATATCACATTTTCCTGCTCACTGTCTCTCTCTGTCTCTCTCTCTCTCTTTCTGGTGAGCACACATATCCTATGCCAAAAACCTGAAAAAAATAAGGAAGAGGAAAAGTAAAAGAAAAAGAAAAAGAAAAGAAAAGAGAAATTTAAGGAAAGAAAGAAAGGAAGGAAGGAAGGAAGGAAGGAAGGAAGGAAGGAAGGAAGGAAGGAAGGAAAGAAGGAAGGAAGAAGGAAGGAAAGAAAGAAAGAGAGAGAAGAAAAGAAAACCATGCCAGGCATGTGTGTATGCATGCCTGAAATTCCAAGAGGAGAAGGCCACGTTCCCTGCGGGGGAGAGAGGAGGGATTTCTTACCTTCCCTCTCTCTGTCTCTCTCCATCAAGTACACATGCCCTATGGCAAAATAAATAAATAAATAGAAAAGAAAGAAAGAAAGGAAAGGAAACTACACAGAGCCTGGGTTACAATGACGTCCTTATGGCATGGCACTGTCTACCTCCTCTCTATCCTCAACCATAGCCCCAGAAGGTGCTCCAAAGACTATTAGAAAAACCCTGTCTGGTCTTCACATCACCATCCCCACTGGATAACTAAAGAGGCAAGTAAAGTTCGCCCTCCGACCATCCACTACAGATTTCTACCGAGGACTAGAACTCTCCTATGAGAGCCACCCAAGGTTAGACTTCCTACTTTAAATGTCTTTTTGAGGTGCCCTGAAGGAACTAACACGATGCACTGAGATCAGGCATCAGTACCCTGGAACCCAGAGTTGACCAAAGACCCCCTCTGTGGCTCCAAGGCCCTCTCTCCCACTGTTGTACCCAGAGGAACCTCCTCCTTAGCTTCAGGTTCACTGTGCCCTGAGTCAGAGCAGAGTCTCCAGATAGCATCCAAATCTCGCTGCTGGTGCTCTGTTGACCCCACTAATGAAGGAACCTAAAGCCACAGGGCACACGCAGCAAGGACTTTTTAAATCAGAATGTCCCTTCAGGCAGGTACACTGTGTGTTCCTCAGTCTACGTCATTCCCTTGTGCATGTTGTCTTACACTCCTGCTCCCTGCTTGTCTCTGAGGGCACTTGAATTGGAGACTCACCAGCTCCTAGGCATGTCTTCATGTCTCACAGTCTGAACTAAGCCATAAGCTTTCATTCATCTAATCTGCATGCCTGGTTCCAGGGTGCCCAGAGGTTAGAGCAGGTGAACCTGCCGTGCCATTCCTCAAGGTGCTCCCTAGAGGGCACTAAGATATCACTGGAGATGCAACAAGGTGAAGCCAGCACTGTACATGCCAGGAGCTATCTCATGGTGGGTCTCAGGAGGGCACTGCATGCTTCACGCACAATTCGAGTTGGCAGTCAGAGGAGGCCAAAGCTCTCAGGTATATTTGACTGGGCCTGCTGAGAAAGGCAAGGCCATGTTGAAACTTTTGTCCTGCCCAAGGGGCTCTGAATTCCTAAGGAACTCTAGGTGGAAAGAGAATCCCACTGATATTTCAGGGCAGCATGAGTTCTTCCTGGCGCATCCACTGCTTGCTGCATATGACAAGTTTGCCGCTATGATTGCCTCTCCCGCTACCATGTACAGTGGCAGGAAATAAATAAGGACATTTTAATGGAGGTTTTCACCAAATGCCTAATATGTCAATAGATCATCGCAGCCATCTGCAGAAGGAGCTGCTGGACTCAGAGTCCCAGTCCCTGGTGCTCAGGTGGTACAACTTCAGTGTAACCAGCCTACACAACAAGGCCTTCCACAAACCCAGTCCTCTCCCGGATCTGCTCTCTGGCTGGAGGATCCCCTAGAAGAGGTTTGGATCAAATAGCCCAAATGATGCAACACCTTTCTTTTTCCTTTTGATCTGGAAAAGATTCTTCAGGATACATGGGCACGTTTTAGAACTAACAAGGGATACACTTAGTTTTACTTCTATGATCTCAGGCACATCTTCGTGAAAGGAGCATGAAAACTGCCACACGGGCACTCCAAAGACACTCAGTTTCACACAGATGTCACCAGTGGGGGCACAACCACCCACGGCCTTCTTCCAGAATCATTCAGACATTCGATTTAGAGTTTTCTAATATTTAAATAACAAAAAATAATAAATCATTTCAAGGGGCACCAGAGAGGCAGAGTACCCATCTGCCTCAGCCTGGCCTCAGTTGAGGCCCTTGTTTATTTTGCACTCTACGGTCTGCAGATCACCCTGTGTGGGTGGATGATAGATACTATTTCCCGAGCCCTTTTTACCTGTCAAGCTCTGTTCTAAACATTTTGCACAGAACTGTTTGTTTACAACCACATTTTACTGGGTTGTCAGAAAAATCATGGGGCTCTTTTGCATAGAAAAACATAGGAAATATGTGTCATAATTTTCCGACAACCTAATAGCGACTGTGAAGCCAGTGCTATCATTATCCTGAATTCACACAGGGGCAAACTGAGGCGCAGAAGTTTGCACCAGGTTACTCCCTAAGTTACCACTCCAACCCAGCCAGTCTGACTCCAAAGCCTCTGTTCTTAACCACTGTGCTGGGGTCCTTCCCTCACCTCCCTGGTCAGTGGCCTCCATCTTGCCACTCCTTCACCCCACTGACCTGACATGCTGCTGTTCCTACCCAGGTGTGAGAGTAACATCCTCTCTGGAGTTCAGCCCTCTGTCCAAACCCAGAGGGGCCCTCAAGGGGTTGATCTCTGTCTGCTTAAAAACTCATCCCAGGGAGCCCAAGCTAATATTTAACCCAGCCAGAAATTAAAAAGAGGGTCCCCAGGAACAGGGATCATTTGATATACCTTGCACAACCGAGTCAATGACACCCAGAATGGTGAGTTTGTATGTTTCCTATCAAGAGACTTCACATAAAATTTCATATTAGGGGCCAGCAGGTTGTGTGGTGGCTAAGGTGCTGGACTCCTACATGGCTGGCCACAGTTCAAGTCCCAGACCATATGGCTTGAAACTTATGCCAGGTGTTTGTGCATGCATGCCCAAAATCTCAAGAGGAGAATGGAGAAGAGATTGCAGCCTGGCCATTCCCCCCTGAGGGGTGATTTCTCACTTTCCCTCTTTCTCTGTTTCTCTCCAGGAAATGCACACACCCGACAACTAAGACATTTTAAAAGACTTCTAATTTGATTGAAAGTTTTCCATTCTTAAAACAATAATACCTCGGGGCCAGCAGTTAGCATAATGGCTATGTGGCTGGACTCCCATGTAGTCGTCCACGGTTCGAGTCCCAGACCTGGTGGCTTAGACTCATGCCAGGAGCATAAGGAGAACGGAGGAGAAGGGATTGTGGCATGGCCATTGCCCCTGAGGGGTGATTTCTCACTTTCTGTCTCTTTCTGGTGAGCGCACGTGCTCTACAGCAAAAAAAAAAAAAAACTATAAAAAAAAAAATACCTCAAGGCAAAATTGCAATCTAGATCTTTTTGTGTAAACTATTCCAAATTTCAAATGCTGACAACTAAGTTTAAAAAAAAAAAAAACCTGTACACCCTATGCAGGTCAAACAAATCACTGCACCATCTGCTTCTTATTTTGGAATTTAAAACAGGCTTTGGCTCTCAGGAGATACCCAATAAATATTTGTTAAGTCTATGAATAAAAACAAAGCCAACTACAACAAAAACAAAAATCTAAAACACCTCTGTGACCTGAGACGCACACTAGCTGCAGGCTAATCTAACTCGGGGATGATCAGAAGGGTCCTGAAAGCACACACTAAACAAGCCCAGGTCATGAGAAGGGGGCAGGAATACAACATTTAGGCAAGTAGTTGGAACAGCCTGAGGCACCAGAGCCTGAGATAAGAGAAAGATATGCTTTACTGAAGGCTGACCCTGACAGAGATGTTCACGACACAATTTCAGCTTTTCCAACACACACACACACACACACACACACACACACCTTTCACTTCTTATTCTCAAAACAGATAC